CAGTGAGATACAGTCAAAAGGGTAACATACTGAGTGACCTGGGCTTCATCCTGAATGTATCCATTCACCTCTTTGGGTTAAGCATCCTTACCTGTAAAGTGTTTTACTAGGGAAGCTGTAAAAATTCTGGTACTGATAAGCACCCTGTGAGGTACTTACTGGAAAGGTGATCAGCACCCGTTGTGAAGAGGAAATCGAGACTCAGGGAGATTGAGAACATTGCCCAAGGTCACATAGCCCACAGTGCTCCACTCCAAACTATATGTGTCTCACCACAAGACCATCTCCATGCCTTGCAGACAAATGGAAAATATTAAAATTTGTAGCCCTTTCCTGATAAGGACAATCCTTCAGGTTATAGTTTTGAAGGAGCTTCTGAAGGGCACACATCTGGACTGTAGTACCGCTGGGACAAGAATCCACGACTGCCTGACATAGAAGTCTGAGCACTTTGCCAGGTGCTAATTCTATTTTGTATTTAATTGTTTCTATTGAGCTATGCATTTTTCTCTGTTCCCCTCCCTTTCTCCCCTCTCTTCTTCTACTCTCTCCTGTGGCCCCCACACTCCCAATTTACTCAGGAAATCTTGTCTTTTTCTGCTTCCTATTTAGATCCATGTATTTCTTCCTTAGGGTCCTCTTTGTTGTCTAGGTTCTCTGGGGTTGTGAATTGTAGGATGGTTTTTCTTTGCTTTATGTCTAAAAGCCACTTATGAGTGAGTACACATTATATTTGTCTTTTTGGGTCTGGGTTACTTCACTCAATTTGTTTTTTTCTAGTTCCATCTATTTGCCTGCAAATTTCAAGATGTTATTATTATTTTTTTTTTACCGCTGTGTAGTACTCCATTGTGTAAAAGTACTACATTTTCTTTATCCATTCTTCAGTTGAGGGGCATATAGGTTGTTTCCAGATTCTGGCTATTATGAATAATGCTGCTACGAACATAGTTGAGCACATGCTTCTGTAAAGCAAAAGACATGGTCAACAAGAGAAAACAGCAGCCTACAGAATGGGAAAAGATCTTCACCAACCCCACATCAGACAGAGGTCTGATCTCCAAAATAAACAAAGAACTCAAGAAAGTGGTCATCAAAAGAACAAATAATCCAAGAAAAAAAATGGGGTACAGACCTAAACAGAAAACTCTCAACAGACGAATCTCAAATGACTGAAAGACACTTAAGGAAATGTTCAACATCCTTAGCTATCAGAGAAATGCAAATCAAAACAACTCTGAGATTCCATGTAAGAATGGCCAGGATAAAAAAAAAAACAATGATGACAACTTCTGCTGGAGAAATTGAGTAAAAAGAACACTCCTGCATTGCTGGTGAAAGTGCATACTGGTACAGCCCCTTTGGATATTAGTATGGCGATTTCTCAGAAAATTAGGAAACAATCTACCTCAACCCAGCAATACTACTTTTGGGTATATACCCAAAGGATGCTCAATCGTGCCACAAGGACATGTGCCATGTGCTAATTCTATTTATGATTACAGCCCTTACTGCCACAAAGACTCACAGAGGATGCAATCACAATAGAACCCAGATTTACATCCAGTAATGAGTAATTTAGGATTACAGCAAACTGAACTTTGTGGTCTAACCTTTTGAAATCTACATGGCCAACAAAGAAGCAGGTGGGATTCTGGTGTTTTTTCTTTTTTGCTTCTTTTTTTTTTTTTGGTCATTTTTTTTTGGATGTGTGGGTTTTTTGTTTTTTTTTTGTTTTGTTTTTGTTTATTTGTGAGGCTAACCTTTAATGACTGAGTCATCTTTCCATCCCAGGATTCTATTTTTGTGCTAACATTTAATACACCATGTAAGTAAAATGCTAATTTAAAAATATTTCAAAGCTTTCATCAGTATTTTGATATTTAGGGAACATTATACTAATGAGATAACTCAGCTCCATATAGACAAACATCATATAAAATTAATTATGTGTAGAAACAATAACATCAACAAACCCCAAAACAAACAAATTGAGCCCATAGAAATAGAGAATGGAATGATGGTTACCAAAGGTTGGGAAAGTGGGAGCCGAGCAGCGGGAAGTTGTTGGTCAAAGGGAACAAAGATTAGTTTAGACAGAAGAATCTTCCATAGAAGGAGTTCTCTAACCAAAATAATGTATTACAAACTTCAAAATGGACACAAAAGTTTCAAATGTATCAACAGAAATATGTAAGTGAGGCAGAGTACTAATTTCCTGGTTTAATCATTGCACATTTAATACATATATCAAAACATCACATTGCACCCCATAAATGTATATCATTATGATTTATCAATTAAAAATAACATGAATAAATACCAGCATTCTGCAGTTGATCAAACATATATGCAAATAGCAAACACCAAGTGCGCACCATATTAGAATTTATTAGAATACAAACTAGTCCAAACACAATATATTATCTAGTTAAGAAAATAAGAGCATTTACTATTTTACGACGGTAGCCTCCCGTTCCATTTTTGAGCAGTAGTAGTCAACATTAGAGTCCTTAATGCACTTTCAAAGGGCTCCCCAAGTCGGACAAGTAGGCACCAGCTGTGCAAAAATAACCCTTTTCTATTGCAAGGTTTTTGGAACATGGGTGTTCATGCCTTCACATGGCTTATTCTTTATGGGTTGTCTGCTGTACCTCTTGTTTCCTTCCCCAAGCCTCCAGTTGCTAAGAAAAAGACTTGGCGTGTACGTGTATGGCACTGTCACCATGTTCAAGGACACAAATCATACAGCAATGGAGGTGATAGTGAACAGTCTTTGAAAGAAGCACCACAAAAACCCAGGCTAAGGGGCTTGCCCTTAGCAGCAGCTGTTTATGTGACAGGCTTCAATAGTCAAGGCTTCATTTCCAAACCTGGCCAGAATGAAAAGGCTTATAATTTTTTAAGTTAAAAAGAACTTCACCATTGTCCATTATTATTATTATCAATAATAAAATGAATTTCCCCTCTGTGATCATAAATAAACTCAAACTTTAGGTGATATATATATATATATCTTTTGGGTTAGGTTGATTGTATATATTTATATTTATTTATATCAGCCTAACCCAAAGGGTATCCATGTGCATTTTAAACAGAAGATGCAGCAACTCTCTGGAGTGCCTTCATGGATTAGCTTAAAAGAGAAATTGAAAATGTAGTCAGAAAAGAGAGATGCTGCCATCCTACCTGGTAGAACCTCTACTGTTAAGAAAAGTAGTAAATGAGTGTCTGGGGAAAGCATTCCCAGGTGAAACACAGCTTTTAAGCAATTAATTGTTTTCAGTACAATTAAAACCACAGAGCAGACAGTGTTGAGAGTCAGACTAACTCTCCACCTTGTGTACGTCCTCAAAAAGGAATCGCTTGACTTTTAAATATATTGCACTTCGAATTGCTTATGTATAGCTCAAACTAACATTTCCAGAGCTATGCACTTTAAAAATAAATAAACACACGTATATAATACATATTCAGCATAGGTAGCCTTTGGTCAGTGTTTACTTATGGGGGTGCTGTGGAATTGGGTCATACACACAGCTAATGAACATACATTCAGTTGTACATGCTCGGGGGGAAAAGGAAGAAATGCAATTCAAGAGATGTGGGGGATTTTGCTCACATGTCACTGACTGAGCAAATGCTCTGGGGGGCAAGCGAGAAGGAAGCTAGGACTCTGCTGCTCCCTCACGTGGATAACTTCTGCAAACTCTTCAGGGGTCGTGGCTTGTTGCATCCAGGTCCCGATGTTCTCAGACACACCCCGATGATGCAACACGTTCCCTAAACACCAGCTGACTATTGTCATCAACCACAGTATCAGTAACCTGTCCCAACACTGGAGAAAAATGTAGCTTCTTAGGTGTTCAAAGGTCCTCCTTCCCAAGGGACTATGCACAGGAACCACGGCCCCATAAGGTCATTCTCTTTTGCATTGACTTTCGAGTCTAACCATAGGGTCTGGTGAGACTCTCCCATAAGCCGTTTTAAAGGGATAAAAACTAACACCATCAGGAACAATACAATCCCGAACCACACTGAGTTAGTACTGAAGGGCCTTGGCCAAAGTTTAGCACTTGTGTTGGCCCAGGGACCTTTTCATCCCATTCCATTGCTGAGGAACCCCTTAAGATGACAGAGACATGCCTTCCAACTCAGGGAGAAAATGCAATAAAAATCAAACCTATGGAACCAAGTGGTCCAGGTAACTATGTTTAATTTGGTCACCAAAATGTCATGCAGTTTCAAAATCATTTTGGAAGATTTCTTCCAAACCAGGAATGGGTTTAAATACTGGGAATCTGGAAAAGGGACACAAATAAAATGCAAAACAATAGGGACTCTAGCATGAATATTCCCTTTAAAGGGCACCACAGGCCCAGTTTAATATACTCATGTCTATATGTGTGCACTCTATGTCTGCACATAGACAGGGTAATTCTCAGGGCAACCCCTATCCACTGCATCCTAGATTTGTTCTTTCAAATCTAGGCAAAGGGAGGATAATAAGTTTTTTTTAATCACCTATGAAATGCATCTGAGTTTGATAACAGGCACCACCTGACTGAGTCACTTACAACAAAGGACAGACCAATAGTTGGCACAGTCACCCCTCCATGAAAGTTGTGTCTGTATTTAGGGTCTTCTACGGCCATGCCAGCTTGGGCTGTGGTGGGATCTAGGCAGCCCTTCTCAACAGAAGAGCTACAGTTTCTGACCCCTGGACTAGTATCTCCAGTTAAGGAGTCACTTCATGGAAAGCATTTGGCGAGGGCTTGAGCAAGCAAGGATGCAGGGCTAAGAACTTGACACACAGAAGGTGTCGCCGGGAAGTGTGTGCAGCGCTCTAGCAAGAAGTGATGTTGGATGCAAATATCACATACAGCTCACACAGGGATGAGTTGAAACAGAGGCAAGAGTGGGCTTGATTTTTTTGTTTTTCTGGGCTCAAGAATTCCTCCTTCCCCCTACACACCAGGCAGGGTCTTTGTTTTAGAGGAGACATAAAAAAGATCTACACATTATGGCAAATAGAAAACCACACCTTAGACGCCAGGTCTAAGAGACATAGTCATGTTTGTTTGGAACCTCCCCATAGACATTCCAGGGACAGTTTGGATGATATTTTACACTTCTCTCTCCCCACGCTGTCATTCTGCAGCCAGAGTTGCTAGGGTCACTGGGAGAACACAACCCTTTCTAGGACAAAGGGTATCTTGGAAAAAAAATCCCAAATCAGTCAATCCTGTTGGCTGCTGGAAATAGTATAGGGAATCAATGGGTAACCTCAACTCTTGGAAGAAGAGTATGGTTCAGCTACACACTGTGGTGGCTTGGTGGACCACAATTCGAGTGGTTGGTTCCTAGTAGCTGTAGATGGTACCAGCACTAACTACTCTACTGTGGTCTTTATTGGTCACGGTATTATGGCATTTATAACATTTATAACTGCCAATGGCATCTTTAAGCCAGCAGGCACCGTGACTACCTTTGTGAATTTGTGAAAATATAAGTGCACAAAGAAAAACAAGATGTATTCTCTCCTTTCTTCTCTTTCCTCTTCTCATCCTGCCAGTCTGAGAGCTGCTCAGTCTGTGGAGAGAGGAAATCAGGTTAGCACTCTTAAGGAGAGCTGTTCAAGCCAGAGCATGGGACAACCTCTCATCTGGAAACAGATTACACAAAAGGCACAAGTGCCAGCCCTATAGGGTCACGGGGACACTTTTATAGGCTTTCCATGTTTGTCGTACTGGTACACCAGCATCTTGATGCAGTGTGAGTTTGCTGGAGAGATCCAGGGACTACTTGTTATGGAAAAGTTATGGTTGGTGTAGAACTGCACAGGCTGCTTCTGGCACTTGAACAAGGCCTTGAGTGTAGCCGCTGCCATGGTGCGGAACCGCTTGCTGATAAAGCAGTAGAGGAAGAAGTTGATGGCTGTGTTCAGAAGGGCCAGCATGTTGGCAACATCCAGCATGATGTGAACCAGCCAAGGGTTCTGGATGGGCGATCCATAGAGGTGGTAGAGAATCATGATGATGCGGGGGGCCCAGAGGGTGGCAAAGATGGAAGTGATGGTGAACAAGATGGCAGTGGTCTTCCCTGTGGAATAGCCACGGAGGCGGAAGTTGCTCTTCCTCCTGAGCTTGTAGACAATGATTGAGTTCAAGATGAAGAAGATGGAGCAGGGCACCAGGTACACAGTGAAGCAGTGGATCCAGACAAGAACATGATGCATGGAGGTGCTGGTGTAGTCTTCAGTCCAGATGTTAGGCCACCAGTAGTAGGGGATGCTGGTCAGGAAGCAGGTGATGTAAACACTCACAATGACTTTTCGGGTCCTGGCTGGGTAGGAAACGGTGTGGTATTTGAGTGGGTGACAGACAGCGATATATCTGTCAACAGTTAAGGGGACTGTAATCCAAATGGAGGTGTGGATGGAGGAGAACTCCAGCACTTCTATAATCTTGTCAGGGATCTGGGGCATCTGCACGCTCAGAATGAAGTCTTCTAACAGGAAATCCACGAAGACGATGAAAAAGAGTACCAAGATGTCGGCAGCAGCAAGTGCCAGCAGATAGTTGTAGGAGGACTTCTGTCTTCTGGCCACTAGTTGAGAGAGGATGATGACTGTCAAGATATTCGCTGTGGAGATAAGAGAATCAAGGTCAAACCTAAGGCAGAGTTGACTGTTGGCTACTGGCGAGGGCCTGGGCTTGAGGTTTCTAGGGTGCTCCAATACATGCCAAAGGATCAAATGGGTGCTTCTGTGGGACACTCAGCATCACAAATCATACCTCAGATGGACATCTGGATACAATTTGAATATATACTCATGTACCTCCTGCAGCTGTGAGAGGTGATGTGGTTATCACCCAACTATAGGTGTGAAACTGGATCCCTGAGTGCTCAGGACACTCGGTGTTGCATCCCTGAATTCTCATTGTTTGTCTGACTGACTTGTGGAAATTTGGGTGTGATGGTTAATATTGATCACCAACTTGGCAGGATCTAGGATCGCCCAGGAGACAAGCCTACAGACGTATCTGTGAAGGAGAACTTGACTGAATTTATTGAGATGGGAAGGCCCACCCTAAAAGTGGTGGCACTGTTCCTTTGACTAGAATCCTGGACCAAATACAAAGGAAAAAGCTAGCTAAGCATAAGCGTTCATCTCTCTCTACTTTCCAACTGTGGACACAATGTGACCAGCAGTCTCTTGCTTCCGCTGCCATGACTTTCCCTCCATGACAGGTTGGACCCTCAAAGTGTGGGCCAAAAGCAAACCCTTCCTCCCTCCAGTTGTCTTTTTTTTTTTCAGGCAATTTATTACAGCAACAAGACAAGTGAGTGATTCAATGGGGCTAGGAAGCCTTTGCCTCCAAGGTGCCTGAGCTGCACACCTTCCTTGTTGTGGGGTTGGGAACAGAACCCAAGATTTTTGCATATTGACAAATGCCCTGCCACTTGGCTACATCTTCAGCAGCATGACTCTTAAGAACTTTCATTACACTTATATTCTAGGACCTTCTTTTCAGTGCTTTTAAGGGATGACCTGCATATCAATTTTAAACTGATTTTTGGAGCAAGTGATCAACATACATTGTGCGTACTTAAAAACAATAACAAAAAAGGAAATTTCTCTTCTTCTTCTGTTCTCTAATCATCCCATTTTTTTCCCTTAGGATCACCATAGCCAATACATAATTGATATACATATATGCCCAATTTATCACACATATAATATTTATACAATAGCAAAGTATTCTTGTTCCTAGGGTTAGATGGGTGTTTAAAACACACACACACACACACACACACACACACACACACACACACACACTCACAATCCCCAATCAGTTTTATAAATATGGATCTCCCAGAATAAGATGCATTTAGAAAGGCATTATGGAATAATTCAAAAGCAATAAGTTACCCTGTAGATGATATCTGAAAGTTGTTTAGATAAAACTGATTCTCATTCATTTTTACAATTCAAACTTTTTTGCATTCATATTCTACAATCCTGACACTGTCAATCTTGCTTTGCAAATGAGGGTCTCTGAGAGCTTATGTCCTTTGTCTGAGGTGTAAGAACAGAGCCAGAATCTGATCTTCTCCCTTTCCTCCCTCTCCTCCTCCCTTCCCCCTTTCTACCCCTCCCCTACCTGTTACCTTTCTTCCTCCCACTTCTTATACCTCAGGAGTCATTTCAAACATTACCTGAGACTGATATGGTGGTGTGTGCCTATAACCCAACCCTAGTACGAGGGAGGCTAAAGCAAGGGTACTGACAAGAGCTCAGGGCTATCCAGGACTGCACGGCAATACCCTGCACCCAAACATGAGGCAAACCATATAACAGTTCATATATAGAACCTTTTTTTTATTGTTGTTGTTTTTTGAGGCAGGGTTTCTTTGTGTAACAGCCCCAGCTCTGTAAACCAGGCTGGTTTTGAACTCACAGAAATCCTCCTGTCTTTACCTTCCATGTGCTGGGATTAAAGGCATGTGCCACCACTGCCTGGCCTAGAACCCTCTTACAACAAGTGCACACACAGAGCATGGTGAACTTGTTATAAAATTAAAGGAATTTGAACATTTTCATATATTTGGTTCATTCCTTTATAAGGGAGGAATGATGATGTAGGTAGAGGTGAAGCCTGTCTTGAAATAGCTCCAGTGCCATTGTTTTCTCTCCAGGGGAACTGGAGTCTGTGCCCAGGGTGATGTTCGTCTGCTGTTTCTCTTCCACACTAACATTATTCTAGCCTATCCCATTCTCTCTTTTTGGTAGTCAGCAGTATGTTTTTGAGACTTAGCCATGTTAATACTTGGACTTCTAGTTTATTCATGTGAACAACTATATAGAATTATATCAACTTAGTACAATGTGGTGGTTTAAAAGAAAATGGCCCCCAAAGGGAGTGGCACTATTAGGAGGTATGACTTGTAGGAGCAGGTATGGCCTTGTTGGAGGAAGTGTGTCACTGTGGGGGAAGGCTTTGAGGTGTCTTTTGCTCAAGTTTCACTCAGTGTGACACTCAGTCCACTTCCTGTTGCCTTCTAATGAAGATGCAGCCAGTATTATGCTCCCTGCCATGATGATAATGAAATGAACCTCTGAACTGTAAATTGCCACCTCAATTAAATGCTTTCTTTATAAGAGTTGCCGTGATCATGGTGCCTCTTCACAGCAATCGAAATCCTAATTAAGACATACAATTACATATTACATATAGTTTTGTATTTCTATCTCCCCACAGAACTTTTGAATTTATTCCAGGATTGTTCTATTATGAGCATGATAGTTCATGTCTCAGGATGACTCTCACTGAAAAGCACGTCCATGTGAGAGCTTTCTGGGTAGTGCATACAGAAGTACATTTATGTTTTAGAATGTGTAGTTGTGGTCATACTTCTGCTTGCAGCAATCAGACACCTGACAAGAAGTAACTTAACTGAAAATGGTTCATTTTAGTTCACAGTTTAAGGCACAGCAGTGAGAGCATGAGGTGGCAGATCACATCGTGTCCGCAGTCAGGAAGCAGAGAGGCAACAGATGTATGGCTGGCTATCAGGCATTAAGGCCTGCCCCCAAGGGACTCGCTCCCTTCAGTAAGGCTCTGTCTCCTACAGATGCCACAACTTTCCATGCCGCAGACTGACTGGGGATCAAATGTTGAAACACACGAGCCAGGAGTGTGCATCTTCTATATTAGATATTGAGAACTAATTGGAAAGTGGTTTTACTAATCCAAACTCCCAACGGCTGAATGTGCAAAGTCTAGCTCAGCTGTTCCACATCCTATCAGGAGCTTGGAGGGCCGACCAGCATCCTGGTCAAGTCTGTGCCATTCTAGCTCTTACCTGAAGCACTCAGAAATAACGGAGTGCTGGTTATATTAGCCAGGCTTCAAACCTCAGTCCTGCAAATTTTCATTTAATGATACTTATTCCAAAGGGGTGGGGACCCCCTGGGTACCCGATAGAGACCAATGGTGAGTGTGTACTCCGTGAAGACCCTACCTCAGAAAATACCGCCTTTAAGATAAACAGTTTGTATTTATAGATTGGGTATCCCAAAAGTTTGTGCACCCAGTGACATTTTTAAGAACCCATGAGTTGTGTGCAGGGAGGAGATGGTAAGTGAAACAGATGTTATCTATTTGCTTTAATCTATCTTAGCATTTACAAGGAGAGAAAAACATTCACCAAACTTTAGAAGAAGCTGCATAACTTCAGGTTATAGTGTGTGATAGGAAAGAGTGGCTGGGAGCAGAGACCAGAAAACACATTTCTAGGGGGTGGGGCTGTACAAGCTGAGATCAAGGGACAAACAAAGACGTAAATGTTGCTGTAGAATATTATCTTAAAAAATGTGTTACATTTGCTTATGCTATGGAACATTTGTTTAATGATGCAAAAATGTGTTGTATTCTTTTATGTTACATTTGTTCAACTCCATGAAGTTGTGTTACTTTGCCTGTCTAAGACATCAGATTGGTCAAATTAAGAGCCGAATGGCCAATATCAAGGCTGGAGAAAGGATAGGATGGGATGGCATGCAGAGAGAATAACTAGGAGAAATCAGGGAGGAAAGACCAAGGAGCAAGAAAAGGAGGAGGACATCAGGGACCAGCAACCCAGTTAGACAGCAAGACACGGAGAAAGAAATAAAGAAAGGTATACAGAAATAGAGAAGGATAAAAGCCCAGAGACAAATGGTAGATGGGATAATAAGTTAAAAAAAAAGCTGGCTAGAAATAAGCCAATCTGAGGTTAGGCATCTATAAGAAAGAATAAGCCTCCATGCGTGATTTATTAGGGAGATAGGTTGTGGGTACCCCAAAAGAGCTAAGAGCAAAAGAACCAAAGAGTGAAAAACAACCAATAACAGGCAAACGGGGAAAACATGTGGGAGGAGAAGACATTTCAATAAAGGAAACAACATGTGCAAAGGCCCAGCGGCGGGAATACATGAAGTCCTGGGTTTATCAAGGCAAAGGACGCTTATATTGATTTGTGCTTGCTCTGTAAGTATTTTGCATTTAGCAGCTCTCTTTTATTAAACAGCTTTCTTGTGTTCTCTTGAAAAGCATTTCAAAATGTTTTATTCATTCGGAAATCCTCTCACCAAGTATTTAGCATCTATATTTGCAGGCAATGACCCGTGTATGGGCTGAAGGTGGGCACAAATTGGTGCTGCAGATGTCAGGGTCTCTGCTCAGAGTGTGGAAATAGTCTGCAAATGGCTACATGCTGAAGAGACAAATGAGAACGCACACCGTGGGCTCAGGGAAACTGGCAAGCAGACGTCGAGTGGAAGGCAAAGTTTGGAAAGGACACCTGGGCCAAAGGGCTGCCTTGTGGTCCGTGCTTGCCCCGACTTAATCTCATACAATTCGAGTTCCCTAGGAATCAGACCATAGGTTCTGATGACATTGGGGGCACAATAGCCAAGTCTGCGGGGGGCTGGAGTGGGACTTCCCTGGGGTTCCATCCTTGCTCTGTTACTGGTTCATAGATTTGGGGGCAAGTTTACTCAATCACTTTGTGCTTTAGTTTCCTTCTTTATAAAATGAGACTAATGAGAACATTCACTTCATGAGGCTGATCGCAGATGGAAGAATAATTAAACTAGA